CCAAAGCATGAAGCATATAAGCATAAGGAATTTTTTGCCCTTCTGTAGCACTTTTGTCTGAGGATTTCAAGACACTTGCAAACTTTAATGAATAAACACTCATCTTACCTCTGTGAATTGGGAAGAATTACTGTCTCCTGTTTTTTTCAGATGGAGAATCTAGAGCATAGGGAGGGTAAGAGATTTGGCCAGAGTTATAAACAAAATAAACGTTGGAGCCAAAAATAATACTTGGGTGTCTGGAGTGCTTTAACCAGGAGGAGCAGCTTTCACCCTAAAAGACATATGGGTCAATTCAGCACCTGGTAAATCAATAAAAGGGTTCACTCAGACCTGGATTGGGCTCTGTGGGGGAGTTGTACTCTTGAGAGATTCTGGCATGAGCCCACTGGAATGAGTATGTGTGTTATATATTGGCTCATCCATTAGAACTCAGACAGTGGATGTTACAATCCTTTCCTCCAAGTGATATGGTGCCCAACAACATATGATGCCAGGAGAAAAAAATGAACCAACAAAATTCCTGGAGTGGTAAAATGAAGCAGTTGAAAGTTTCATCAAAGTTGAAACTTGGGAAATATGGAGGACAACTGGAGAAGGTCCAAACAGTGCTTTGTTCTCTGATTTACAAGCAATGCTTATCACCAGAGAGGAAGGCAGAGGCACTTGAGGTTTTTAATACTTTTCACTTAATTTAGGCAGGGAAGAGGTGCTTTGAAACTTTAATATGAAGATTTGAGGAGCACAGTACTTCATGAAAAATGAAACATATGAATGTTATATGTTTTTAAACAACAGGGGAAAAATGAAAACAGAAAAGAGTTTGTGACTGAGGTAAGGTTAAAAAGCCAGTATTGCAATTTTGCAGGACCAACTGGTTCTCTCATAAGAGACCAGATTGTGATTGGGATCTGGGAGAAAGCACTCAAACTAACTACTAGAAGTTCCACAATTAACCCTTGAATTAAGCTATTGAGAATTTGCCAAGCAAAGAAAGTTAGCCAGTCTAGAATGACTACGTGACTTTATGTGGGGAAGAATAAAGCTCTGATACAGTGGACATTATAGAGAACCCAAAATATAAACTCTATGAAATAACTTTTTTTTCCTTGGTATGTTCTTTTTAACACAGCAAGATGTCCAAGTAGACTTCAGTAATATTTAGGGCCTTGCCAACATGTTTATTCCAAGAAACAGGTACAAAGATTCCTTACAATGATGAACTAGGTAGGGAAATCTTTGCCAGACAGCCTTAGGGGTGGGCGATGTGGGCAACTGTCCAAGGTACTGTAGTCAGGGGGTGTCACATGCACATTCATGCACACACGTGAGCAGCCTGCTTTCACCCTGTCCCACCCCACTCCACCTTGCCCTGCCCCACCCCAGCTGATTCCCACCAGCAGCAGTGCCTGCCTGCCCACCTGCCTGCCTGGACCATGAAGCCACTCTGTCTCCCCATTGGACTGCACCCAGCACCCACCCCTGCCCACTTGCCTTTGCCTCCAGCAGTGCTTTTGACTTGGGGAGGGAGCGCCAAAATAAAAGTTTGCCCAGAGCACCACTTTCCCTTAGGCCAGCTCTGATCTTTGCCTTATGTAGATCTCCAACCTGTAACCTGACAGTGCTACACCAGCAACAATGGGCATGAGTAGAAATCCTGAGACACAGTTTGAGAAACTTAGTTGTGCACTTATTTGAGAGTGGGGTTCCCTTATTTTAAATTTTCTTAGAAAAATTCCAAGGAGGGTATTGGTATAGCACTCTTATAGCAGTATGACCCATGCTGAAAACAAGTTGTTTAGGTGTATGATTGTATATATAGATATAGATACAAACCATCTGTTAATATGGTGATATAGAAAAGGAGGTCTTCATCCATGTTTTTATCCATGGCCGTAAAAAATGTCATATCCCTTTTCATGCTACTAGCTTTTGCTATTGTCAAAATGATCCTGAGGAACATAACCCTGTACATACATAGTAGTGTATGATTTGCAAATTGAATACAAACTTAAAAGACTTTATTCTCCAGAACTCTCTAGTGCAGTGGAACAAAGTTGAATGGTAGAAAAGTAGATCGTGTAGATTTCGATATGATAGGAAAAATGTCACAGAGATTGAGCCTACTTGATAGGCTTTACTGCAAAGTAGACTAATCTATTGCACATTAAAGTATTATCAACATGTGTACTGCATTTACTGCACAGTAAATTAGTTTACTGTATGGTTGGTTGGTACCTGTAGATACAGGTAATTGTTCTACCATGCAGTAGCAACTGTATAGTAGCGCACATGTAGACAGCTGACTGGGAGCAAATTGCTCCTGGTCAGCCCAGGCAGCAGGGGGAGAGGGAATTGTTCTCTCCCCCAGACAGCTGCCTCCCAGCCCAATGCCAGCAGGGGCTGGAAAACAGTCCTGTGCCCTGGGCAGCTGCCTACCTCCTAACTCCATTCCCTGATAGGCAGAGGTGCGGGGCTGGAAGACAGGCAGCTTCCCAGGGCAGGGGACAGTTTCCCAGCCCCCACCCCAATCTGCTAATCAGAGCAAATTTGCTCCTGACAGGTGCACGTGTAGACATGCTTCTGGGGAAACTTTACTGCACATTATTTTACTGTGCAGTATGCTTAAAGAGCATTAGTAGCATTAATAGCATGCATGTGTAGACACAGCCAGAGTCTCTCGGTGTGGCCTCAGCTAGCAATGTGGCCAGGGCAAAATATTCCCAGCCTTTCTCATTATTTTAAGAGGTAGCTCATAGCACTAGATAGTATTTTGTTTAAAGACACCCGTATGGTGATACTTAAAGTGGTAACAGATACATTAAGGGCATTTAAAAAGGCATTTGTCTAGGTTCATCTTTTAAAGCAGAATTTACAGTGTTGCCAATGCTTGCATTTTTATCATAAAACTTGCTATATGCAGTTATTTTATTAAAGACCCAGGTCTTGGAGGCACATAATTAATTCAAAACCTCAGCTTTCACTTAAAAAAACAATAGTTTTCATGATGGTGGTAGAGAAAAACATAAAAATCTGAACTCTCCAAGGTAAAATATCAGAAGATAAATAAGACGACCTCCAAAGTTGTTGTGAGGAAGCAGTGTGGATTTTTTTTTTTAATTGCTGGCTTTAAAAAAATCACATCTCATGATTTCTGGAACCTGACTCATGATTTTTGAACACTTTGGGTGGGCATATTATTGAGCCTACTGGATCAGATTTAGAAATGTACCCACATTAAAAAATGCACACCACATGAAGCTAGACAGGTACCTTTTCCCCCAAACTAATGTTTTACATGACTAGTGTCATCACTTAAACTTGGGATAAATTTATTTTGCTAGTGCCTTTTACATATTCTCTCCATATCCTCTGTAGTTTTCTCTCATATCACAGATTTTTCCCTCTCCCACACACCAAGGTTGTGCCACTTCTGCACTCCCAGGCAAGCATGGGGGGTCGTGTGCCCCCCAGATCTGTGTGCAGGGCGAGAGCGGGCTGCTGCTGTGGGCTTTGCCCCAGACACCAAACTTTGTTGCTCTGGCATTGCTTTCTCTCAGGTTACAAATGTAGATAGTGAATGTTAAGGGGAAACAAAACAAAACAAAGCAAACCAAAGTCTAAATGGCATGTTCTGGTTCATTAGCTATTTCAGGCAAAAGTTACTGGAGGACTCAGGGAATCCCAAAATTCAGCTGTGGGGTTTTGTCTTTGTCTGAGGCTGAAGTTGGTTCCTTATTCCCAGTTCCTTATTCCTGGTTCATTTTTCAAAGCTAATCCTTACACAGTTAAAGTATGTTAGTAATGAATTACACAAGCTGAAGAGTCAGGATTTCTGGAAATAAGGAACCAACTTCAGCCTCATTGGTTCTGTGCAGAACACACAGGCCCAGGGGCCTGTGAGCTGGCAGACTGGCACTCAGAAACCATACTTTGGGTTGGGCAGGGCTCTGCCCAGACTTCTTCAATAGAGATCTCCAATACCAGGGATGTGTGTTTTGGAGTGATCCAAAGAGGATTTATCTTCATAATCCCAGCCCAAATCCAACTCTTTATTCAGGACTAAAAATGTAGTGCAAAGCCCTGGGGGCCAGTGAGTTGGTGGACTGGCATTCAGAAACCAAACCGGGTTGGGCAGGACTCTGCCCAGACTTCTTTTGGAGAGATCCCCAATGATGGGGATGTATGTGATCCAAAAAAGATTTCCATCTGTAATCCCAGCCCAAATCCAAATCCTTATTCAGGGCTAAGCGTGAAGTGCAAAGGCCCAGGGGCCTGTGAGTTGGCAGCTTCGCATGCAGAAACTGAACTTGGAGTCAGGCAGGACTCCTCCCAGGCTTCTTTGGGAGAATCTCCAATGCCAGAGATGTGTGTTTTGGGATGACCCAAAATGGATTTCCACCCATAATCCTGGCCCAAACCTAGATCTTTATTTAGGCCCAGGGGCCTGCAAGTTGTCAGGTTGGCACTCATAAAACGAGCTTTGGGTCAGGAAGGAGCCTACCCAGACTTTTTTGGGTGAGTCCCCCAGTGGTGCAGACATATGTTCTGTGGTGATGTGAGAAGGATTTTGCCTCATAATCCCAGCCTAATCTAAGGTCTTTTTTCAGGGCTCTGTACTTGATACATGATATTACTTTTCATTTTTATGAGCAAATATACATTTTTAATGACATAGTAACTCTTTAGCTTGTCTAATTCATTATTAACACCCTTTAATTGTGTAATGATTATCTTGGAAAAAGGAACTGGGAATAAAGAACAAGCAATAAGGAACCAACTTCAGCCTCATAATGCATGAGTTACTTAAACCCTTGCTCTTACTCTCTCCTTTACTATTCAGCAGTGAGTGGTTAAGTGGAAGGTGCCTGTTGCAAGCTGTGGGGATTTTCCCATAGTGTGGAGTGCAGTCAGAGGAGCACAGAGGAGTAGAGCAGCTCCTCCCTATTTCCACTTGAGCCAGGGACCAGCTGTCTAGCTGGCAGGCTTCCCTCAGTCTATGCAAGCTCAACCCATCTCTGCTGCTGCTTCCACTCTGGTGTCTTGTCCTGAGCACACAAGGAGGTTTGGTGCAAACATCCTTGCACACATTTGTCAGCTGCCTTGGAAGCTTTGTTTGTCCAAGCCTGGACACTTCCCCTCAGCCTCTCTGCCCTTGCATTAGTTCTACCCTAAAGAGCTGCTTTATTTCCCTGACTGAAGGGCAACGATGATCCTGCTCTGCATCCTCATTTTGCAAGGTAAGGGGGCTTGGATATAGGTAAAGGAAGTGGCAGGGGGGTGACCAGCAAACTTGCTCCTTGCTGCTGCTGCTCCCTGCCTTGCCTCTGTGGGCTGTTTACTGTGGGAGCTCCAAAGGGAAGCAAGATTCTGGGAAGGCAGTCTGATTTTGGCAAGTCTGAGGCAGCATCTTTCTCTCAGGGCTATAATTTGAACTATGGCATCAAGGCAAAAAAACAAGAGCGTGGAATGCAACAAGTTTTTTCTCCTCCTCGCTGTCTCTCTTGCCTGTGCTTTGATGAATGCATGAGCCTGACACTGCACTGCCTGACAGTCCAAGTCACAGACTTGGTGTTATATTCTTCACTAGTCTTTTCATTCTGAGTGCAGAGCGATACTATGTGTGTGAACTGAGCTCTCTTTGTCCCTGCAGTTTTGCCATTTACTGGAGCTGCCTTGCTCTTTGCTGGGTCTTGTGCCTTTGAAGACAGCAGTTGTGGTTATGAATCAGATGAAACATTTTTGCCATGGACTTTAAATGAAGCAGGTAAGGATTTGGGGGGGGGGGAATTTAAAGGGATATGCTCTACTTAAAACAAGTAATATCAACAAACATCTTTCTGTATCTAGGTAACAAGGAATTATGGAAGTACAAGAATGCAAGAAACTTAAATAGCCAATAAACTTTTTTTTCAGATTTTATTCTCATTAAATTCTAAGTGGACCCCAGTCAAGTCAGTTCACATCCATTTCCAGTTGCATTTTGAGGTGCTCAGTCCTGTAATATTGATTTGCAGACACTGCAGGGGGTACTCGTGTTTTAAGACACCTGTTTTCTCAGAACTCTTACAGAATTCATGGGCATTTCTGTTAGCTTTACTTTTTATTGGGAAAAGCTTGTTTTAATCAAATTTTATTTTAAGTAACCTCACAATATAATTGCGCACATGCTTGCTCTCTTTCTCTACCTACCAACACAAAGCATGAAACTTTGGTATAACATTGCGGTTTGAGTTAAACAGATTTTGTGTTTTATATCAGGTATGGAAAAATTCTGTACGCAATATCATTACAAGGCACACCTCACAATGTGGTTGTGCAAGGTCTTTTCTGGATGCAAAGTGTTGTTGGTTTTTACATATCCCTTTTGTGGTACCAACAGGTTAAAAGGAAAAACTCTCCATTCTTGTTACTGAGCTGATATTGGTCTAATTTGATTAGCAGTCAAAACCAAAATACATCTAGTCAATACATAATTGCTCCCATGTAAGAGTAATTCTTAATGGTCCATTTCTTAGTCCAAAT